GGCCCCCCCCCACAACAGCATCGGTTCACTGGACCCCGTGGCTGACTTCTGGCCCCACTCGGGGGCGCCCACGGCCTCCCCTGGGCTCAACAGAAGGGACAAGTAAGGCTTATTGAAGGCCCAGGACTCAGCGCTTCACAAGACACCCACACACACCCCACACGGCATCCCCGGTGCATAAATGGGTGGGAGCCGATCTGCCAGACTGCAGAGCCCCAATGGCCCTCCGGAGCCACCATGGAGGAGGGCAGCAGAACCCCCCCCCCCCAGTGGGCCAGGATCGTATTCCCAGGAAGGCCACCCGGAGCCCTTTCACCTCGACTCTCTCTCGGGTATGTTGTGGGGCTGCCTTTCGGCTGTGCTCCCGCAGAGTGGCGGGGGTTGGACTAGATGACCTGCCAGACCCCTTCAAACTCTTAACATTCGATGGTTCTGTGACCCTGGGTCAGGCAGAAGGCTGGAGGGCTCCACACCGGCTTCATTCAGGACAGCTAACAAGCCCCCCCCCCCGATTCTAGCAGGGAGCGGCTCTGAAGCAGCCCAGCTCTTCTGGACCCAGAGAATCACGGAATGATAGAGTGGGGAAAGGGACCTCCAGGGTCATAAGAACACCAGAGAAGCCAAATGTTGGATCACGCCAGTGGCCCATCCGGTCCAACACTCCTGTGTCATACAGTGCAGGTCCATCAGTGGGGCCGGGACACTAGAACCCCTTCCACTGTTACCCCCCACCCAGGCACCAAGAAACGGAGCATCCCTTGCCCCAGACCGAGAGTTCCTGTCTATACCTTGTGCTTCATAGCCAGTGATGGACTTCTGCTCCAGATGCTTATCCAATTCATAAGAACACAAAAGAAGCCCATGTCGGATCAGGCCTCTGGCCCATCCAGTCCAACACTCTGTGTCATACAGTGGCCAAAAGTACCAGGTGCCATCAGGAGGTCCACCCAGCAGTGGGGCCAGGACACTAGAAGCCCTCCTACTGTTGACCCCCCACCTCAAGCACCAAGAAGACAGAGCATCCCTTGCCCCAGACCGAGAGTTCCTGTCTATACCTTGTGGCTAAGAGCCACAGATGGACTTCTGCTCAATATAAGAACATAAGAGAAGTCCATGTTGGATCAGGCCAATGGCCCCTCCAGTCCAACACTCTGTCTGTCACACAGTGGCCAAAAATACCACGTGCCATCAGGAGGTCCACCAGCGGGGCCAGGACACACTAGAAGCCCTCCCACTGCTGACTCCCCTCCCCCCAGCACCAAGAATACAGAGCATCCCTTGCCCCAGACGGAGAGTGCCTATCTATACCTTGTGGCTCATAGCCACTGATGGACCTCTGCTCCATATGCTTATCTAATTCCCTCTTGTAAGAACACAGGAGAGAAGCCCATGTTGGATCAGGCCAGTGGCCCCTCCAGTCCAACACTCCTGTGTCACACGGTGGGCCTGGGGTCACCTACTCCAACCCCCTGCACAAGGCAGGACATTCACAAATACCCCCCCCACCGTGCCTTCATTCTCTCCTGAGCCCAGACGGCCTCTCCCACCCTCAGCCCCCCCCCGCCTGCGCCACCAACGTCCTCAGCCGAGCAGAGACCCTGCCCTTTGTTCAGCTCAAGCCCCCCAACCTGAGCCAGAGGAGAGGCTGACGGTCCCCCAAGGCCAGCTTTTGGCACCCAAGGGGGCCCACAGTGCCAGAGCCCATGGCCTCCCCCCACCACGGAGCCCGGGCGGTGTGGGTCGAGGGGAGGGCCCTCACTCTTCCCTCGGCCCCCAGCACCTGAGTGATGACAACACGGGAGGGGAGGCGATGCGGTCCCTACCCCAGAGCTGCTGGGGCCCTGGCCCTGGCCCGGCCAGCGGATGGGCGGACCCTGCGGGGTTGCCAGCCTCCAGGTGGGGCCTGGAAATACCCCCCCCCAGAACTCCAACTGATCTCCAGATGCCAGGGATCCGTTCCCCTGGTGGAAATGGTGGCTTCGCACAGCGTCACACCCCAGCTGGCACCAGTCTTCCCTCTAAGCTGAGTGAGTGTGAGCTAGCTCACAGTTATTTTAGCCTCCGGCTCACACATTTTTGCCTTAACTCAGGAAGGATGGGGCTCTAGAGCAAACTGATTTATACAGTAGCCAAATTGCCTGCTCACAAACTTTAATGCCCAGAGCTCACAAAGTAGAATTTTTGCTCACAGGACTCCACAGCTTAGAGGGAACATTGGCTGGCACCCCTCCCTTCCTCAAACTCCGCCCCCCCACACTCCCAACCTGGAGGTGGTAATAACAACCCTGGCTGGCAGGCCCTGGTAGAGCGGGCGTCCCAGCCCAGCTGCAGGGAACGCATGGCGGGGGCCAGCAGCCACGGAAGAGTGCCGGGGAGACCTCTGCGCCTTGCAGGTGGTCTCTCCTTCCACAGAAAGGGTCTCCGCGGAAGGAACCTGCACGGCCCACACAGGCCCACCTCCTCAGCTGCTGGGCCCACCCACATACCTGGCCGTCAAGCGGCCTCCAGCCCCTTGGGGGTCCTGCTGCTGCGACGGAGCCACACCACTCTCCCCCAGGGAGCGGCAGGAGCAGGACCACCTGAGGACGCCCACAGAGCCCCCTTGCCTACCTTGCCCCTGCTGGATCAGGTCCTCCATGAAGTAGCGGCCGTCCTCCCAGTCCAAGGCCGGAGCGGCCATTCTGGCTCCCCCTGCGAGGAGCAGCTCCCCAGCCAAGCCCGACTCTCAGCCCAGGACCAGGAGGAGGAGGAGGAGGAGGCAAGGCCATGCAAAGCCCAGCACACACCGGAGGTGCCTGCACCCCCCCCCGCCCCCCCCCTGCCGCCACACCCCAGAGGAAGGGAGGGAGGGAGGCAGGCTGCCCTCCTCCCACTGGCCCGCCCGCCCATCCCCACAGCCCCCAAACGCGGCC